AAGCCAGCGTTGGCTCTCCCTGGGGCCCATCCGCGTTCCAGGCCTTGAGGCAGCCAATAGACGACGGCCATGTAGCGGAGGAAACTGAAGGGAGGGTGAACGCGACCCCCACTCCACAGAATCTCAAGTCGTACGCAAGACCTTTCCTGCGTACTAACGGCGTCACGGAGACGTCGTTTGACGTGGCATCGTTTCATCCATCTTATTCGGCGACTGGAACGAATCAACGCGCACCAAGAAACACGAAAAAGTTCTCAGGAATTTCACGCACTATTTTGGTATTTACTCAATCTATTCTATTCGGGTTTTTGGGAGAGCCTGAGTGGTTTCGAGTTCCGTTAGTCAACCGAAGAGGATTGGCCAGGGCGTTCATCCATTGATGTCGACCGGTACGCAGCCAATCGCGACGATTCCACGCTACATGGTGTCAGTAGAACTCGCATACATTTATGCAGAACACCTACGAAGTTGTTACTAGGATATTGGCAACACAACGGCTGCGCACTGCATGTGCCTCCACCAATTCCGACTACGGTGATGGGGGTGCATGTGAGCCCTACGAGGGTATAAGGATCGGTCACAACGACTCCAAGAAGACCTAAAAGGACGCTGGCTTGGCCACCATTGGCCTGGGCGAGGACGCATGAGGACATTCATACGCATTCGAATGAGAACCATACCGGCGACACGCTATTACAGCACTGGATTGGACCAGTGTTGCATTGACTGGCAGGAATTATTGTGGGACCAGGCCAAAAGGGCGTCTATCGATTCACATCAGTTGCGAAAAGTTAAAAGAACTTTGGGTTACTGACTGTAACGGTGACTGTGGTCGTTATTGCAGAGGCAGATACAGCCAGAATAATGGCCAAGCCGCTGAGGAGAAGCGTCAACCGAAGGTGGGAGAACATGCTGCTGACAAGCTGGTCGAGTCCCTCAAGTTTTTATTTCTCGCTCAACCTCAGTCTTTGACGTGTACAAGGCACATAGACCACAGACCCAGAGCGACTCGGAGCAGGTCGACCAGCATTTTTTGGGAAAACCCTGCTTGTTAGAGACAGTGCATTTGCAAATTTTCGTAACCACCGTGAGTCCTGCTGAGCACGAGGCAATAGGCCTGAAGGTGGAATTAGTACGGATATTATCATGATCAAGATTAGAGCGAGCATAATGGTAACTTTACCTGTTATTCGTTCAGACCGAAGCACTGAAGCCCAAAGCCTCTAGATCTAAGGATAAGTCCTGCGTCCAGTAACTTAGAAGGTGATCTGGACTCGTGAAAGCTACATATACGCAGCTGGTATGCCTCGATGACTCGGAGGTACATGATGGTGGGCGAGAGGAGGTGTCGGCTAGTCCACTGCATCCCCGTCGATCCTTAGACGACACGCAAGCCCTACGAGCTTGACTTATAGTCCAAGTTCAAGTTTACAAAAAAAAAGTTCGGATCAGGAGCGGCAAGCTGCCGGCCCGCAGCTCTTTCCCGCGGTCCGCCCATTGACAGAATATGGTGTTGGTAGTTCAAAAAGAGAGAAAGTTTACTGCATTCTCAGTAAGAGAGTGTGACCACGACTGAGCGGTCCACGGTGTATGAAAGAAACTAAATTTATGCGGAATTTTGTAATTTTAGGGAGACAGAACTGGTACTACGCATACGGATCGACACGCTAACCAGATTCTAAGGAACCTCCCCATGTATTTCCACTTGCTTCGCGTAGCGCTAGCGCTTACAAATTGATATTGATGGGGGTGCAACCGATGGCAACAACACCGCTCTAAAATCCATTTTAGACACGTCCTTCTTCCGTCGGTGAAAGACGACTTACGAAGTTATTGTTCTCACAGCAGACGGGTTGCTGAGAGCAGGAGTTGCCCTCAAGTCCAATGATGCTGAGTGGGGAGCAAGTGAGGCCAATGGGGACGTCAACGTCGCCAAGGAAGATCCCAAGGAGGCCCAAGAGGAGGCCGACAACACCATTGGTGGACTGCAAATATGGAACGTTTAGCCGTGCCGAATCCAGTAAACAGAGACGAAATCATACCGATTGCACGCTGTTGCAGCACTGGATTGAACCGGTGTTGCATTGGCTCACGGGAACCGGGGTAGGGCTTGGCTGTGTCTACAAACGGTGAGCAGATTCAGTGGGCACAAATCCTTGTTAAGGAAAAGGCCACTCACGGTGACGGTAACGGTCGTGGTATAAGTGGCAGAGACCACAGAGATCAAAGCCAAAACTGTGAAGAAGAAAGTAGAGAGAGAGCGAGAGTACATTTTGAGTAGAAGAGTTGGTTAGCTTGGCTTGTGAGATGCTTTGCTGGGGACTCCTACCTCAATTTCCTTCTCCTTTTATACGCAGAGTTGGACAAATTCAGGCTCAGATACTGACGCGTCAAACGCGTCCAAAGGCCAAGGAATTATCACCACAGCCAAGGCGAAAGCACTATTCGGAGGGG